TTGTTCTTGTTCTTGTTCTTGTTCTGTCATGTGCAAGTTGGGAGGACGTGGAGGCACAGAAGCAAGCAGCCGCTGCAGAGCTAGAGGACGGAGAGCGCAGCATACGAGATCTCATGGAAGCCAAAATACTCGCCTTTGGATTTCAGCTCAATGTGCAGACCTGCGCCGCGGCCGTTGCACATGCCGAAGCGGACAAGCAAGAATTGCAGGCCAAGGCAAGGGAACAAAAGTAAAGTGCCTGTCATGGATATCTGCAGCTGAGCCAGTCCCAGTCGGTTGCAAGCAGAATTGAAGTCTGTTTGCCTCGCCTATGATCGCGAGTGATAGTGGACCGGGCCCTGCTGGTGGCAAAGCCCTGCGCACATGCAACTCGCACGACATGCGCAGCCCCCAAGTGCAATATGACCTCGTGTGGGACGGGCAGTGCAAGTGCCACGTAGAAGCGAAGTTGAGCACCGACTATGGCGGGAGTAGTTGGAAGCTGAGATTCAGGCAAGGAGCAGGCAGGTGATGTGAGGCAGCAATCTGACAACAATTGTGCCGACCTGGAGTGTCAAAAAGCTACCAGTATGTGAGGTGTCACGTCAGCAACTCGGAGCGGAGTAGCAATCACAATCAGCACGACTGTCTACTAAGTGGTTTGGCGTATCTTTGACACAACGTCGCTTTCTGACGGGAACAAGCACCCAAGACCAAAACTCATACATGCTGCCATTACCGGCGTATATCAGCCGAGAGAGCGTTCTCGCAGTGATAATGTCGTGCATGGCAGATCTCATATCGCCGAGCTGCTGTGGAATTTTCATGTTGCAAAGCAATGTGGGCAACCACCACGTTTGTGCTCAGTTTGCTGAGCTTCGTGGTCAGCTTTTTGCTGCTGTGCAGGCGCAGGACAGGGCTTTGTCGTGCAAAAACTGCACATGCGATCCAAGCATATCCAAGCGTTATCGAACTAGCAGGAGGCAAGCAAAGAGTTGATTGAAGCTCTTCGTGGAGAAGTTGTCGCTCGTCGGCACAGTAGATGTCAGAGCTGCACTTGAAGCTTGAAGCTGAACTCTCGGCAGAGCTTGTCCGCTTGCCAAGCTGATGCCTAACACGGAACAGAAGTCTGCCTAGCAAACATCTCAGCCTCGGGAGAAGACAGAATTCTCCTGCCATCTCAGGCTTCCGCAAGTACACTTCCAGAGGCCCAGTTGCGGCACAAGACATGCAGTGGGCAGCTACGAGCTATGTCTTCAGGTGTGTGAAAAACTAAGGGCTGGAACTGCTACAATATCCACATGAATCCAAACCTGTCATTCCAGCATTGTGTTTGCCAAGCTGGGGTTCTGCGCGCCACTGTCCTAAAAGCGCCTTACAAAGCTTACTATGCAAAACCTTAGTACTGCAGTGCCCAGATGAGTCTTATCCAAACCGTCATTGAGGCATTATATTTGCTCGGGGGGGTGGGGCTGTGCGCAATCCGCACCCCCCTTGTCTTTTCAAATCCGTGCAAGCTTGCTGTTGGGATTCATGCCGTCAGGAGGAGGCACTTCGATAAGCATTGAGTTTTTGAAATCGAGGAGCAGGAGCAGCAGGAGTAGCAGAAGCAGTGGCAGCAGCCGTAGCAGACCTACAGTAGGTAAACAGGGAGGCCTCCGCTGTGGGCCGGCTTGACTTTTAGCCGATCCGACACGATTTGCGGCGCGGCCATACCCACAGGCCTAAACACCAAGCGGAGGACAACAAAAAGCTTGGTCTCGATCCACGTGCCGATCTCGCGAATGAGGCACTCGTGGCTACCCCGCTTGTACCGACAGCCGTGGTCCGTGCATACAGCTCGGCGAAAAGCCATTCTGGCATAGAGCCACTAACAGCAAAACAACCTGCCCAACACCAGCACAGGAAGTCTTGGTCTGGGCGTTATAGCCAGGCACCGATGCACGGACGGATGCGACCTTTAATTAGGTCGGGAGGGATCTTCCCCGTGCTACCAGGCCATGCCAGGCCAGTGTTTCCACTGCTTGGGCATCAGGTTCGGCAGCCTGATGAGCGGAGCGAGCAGCGCCTCGGACTCACCAGGCTTCTCAGCGGCCTTTCTCGGGCACAAAGATGTGGCTGCAGCTCACCTGCGCTGCTGCTCAGCAGCATCACCAACTCCTGCGTAGCATCCGCTCCCTCGCGACCGTCGTGTTTTTTTGTTGTTTGGATGTTTTTGGGGGACGAGTCGAAGCATCGGCCTTGGTGTTGGTGTGGTGAGGCTCCATGGCCTTGTTTGTCCTTGCGCAGGCTCATGCGCTTCGGCTTCGGGCCAGTTCTCCACTGCGGAGTTCTTGCTTGACATCGGGGGACGGTTTGTCACGTGACACGTCGTCATGGAGGAAGGAGCTTACTTGATGAAGGTGCAGAATCATATAAATCAGCCCTTCTGACCATCTCAGGTTTGCTCCGCTTCTCCGTGCCATCGTTTCGAGCTCTGGCTTTGTGGCTTTTGCCTCGTCCGATTCCTGGAAAGTTGAAAGGGGCATGCTATCATCCGGTCGAAAACCACAGAGGGTTTGTCCTCAGTCCCCGTTGCGTTTGGCCTCCTTCGCGGTCGTGTCGTAGCATCGGCGACGCGTACCTTTTTCAAGCTGCAGGCGAGCGGAGCTTCTCGCCGTTATTCTTCGGTTTGACCAAGAGACACACATGAAACGATTCCAAGTGCTTGTTGAAGTCAGAGTCGCCGTCGCCGAACTCGGGCGAATCATTCCAGAGGGTTGAACTTGAAGACGGACTTCTCATCCGTGAGTGTCCGCATCTCCTGGACGATAGCCATAAGTTAGTGCGGAGTCCTGTCCAGAGTTATGCGAAAACGCAGCGATATCGAAGTGCTGCGGCTCTCTACACTCGTGCGTATAGGAGCTTGGCTTGAGCTGCCTGCGGCTCTCACTCGATCAGGCTTCGACATCCTTAACGATAGGCTCAGAGTCAGGGGCTGGCGGCGTGTCATACTCGTTGTCTTTCCATAGAAACATCGGCGGTGACACAAGCAATTCTCCCACAACCGGTCGTGAGAGGATCTCACGGAGGCGGCAGAACGGCTCGCGAAGCGACTGTCGGCAGATCGCCACAGCCGTCGGGCCGGGTCGCCGCTGGTGTCGCGCGGCACAGGTTAACAACGCGTGTGTAGGCCGTCTGGAACTGCGCTTCTCCAAGAGAGATCTCGGCAGTACTAACGGCCTTGTCCTTGCAGTTTATCGACATCTCGATTCTTTGCTGGAGCCAGACCTCGTGCCCAGTCAAAGGTCAACCAACGTGTACCACTTACATGAGCAAGGCAGTCGCACTGTTTTGGGGCGCGCTGGAGGAACGGGTCACGCTCTCTAGGACCGGCAAGGGCTCACATGCACTCCCCAGGTGCTGGGAAACACGGTTAGGGTTCATAGCTGATACTGTACTATGGCTCAGTGCAAAAGCTAAGCTAAAGCAGAGGCGCACAGGGATGTGCGCTGCTGAGTAAAAGGCAATCATGCTACGCAGACTGCCCTGTGGCAGTAGCTGTAGCAGTACGAGTGCCAGTTTGCTGGTTTGTTTGAGCAGTAGCGGCTGCAAGTGTCTGCCCGGCACACTTCCGCAGGTCGAGAAGCTTCAGGACGAAAGTGGGAGACAACGGGCACTGAGCTCGTTTGTTGCATTCTGCCACCTGTGCAAGGAGAGTTTATGTTCTACCCAGTCGGAACTTGCAGATGCAGTGACTGCGAAGGATGTCATGTTTGCAGTCCTTGCTCTCCATGTCGCTTCAAGATGTTCAGTACGAGCATGCGATGCCGTTGCAGCGTTCTGCGCATTTCTGCGCCATATGCCAGTGCAGGAACGCCTGCAGGCAGACGTCGACAGACTTAAGTCTCGGGCTTAGCAGCGCCTGTGTGAGATGGCTTGGCTGTCATGCTATGAAAACGGCTGCATCAGCTCCAAGGTTCGCCGAGATAAATGCTAACATGACCAAAAGCGCCAAGGACTATCTGCGACTGGGTGATGTGGCCGGGGAAGTCCATTTGGTGCAGGTGTAGAACCCGTCTTGCACTACCAACTCGAGAGGACCGAGCCGAAGCACAGGTGAAGGAGCTAAAGCTTGACTTGGAGCATTGGCGTCAAAAGGCTGGCTTCAACAGGGCTTGGTGAGTGCTGGGAGTGAGGGTAGGGCAGGATGTAAGCTCTGGAGCCAAATAAGATTTTGCAAGGCACTTAGCTTCCAGAGAGACGAGGACAGAGCAAAACGGCAAAGCCAGGCGCGGATATGAGAAGCTTGATTTCGCAGCATTGTGTTTGTCAGCCGATGTGGTGCAGTCGCATACCAGTAACCTGGGCTAGCCAGGATTTGTTCAACCCATCCTGCCAAGAGAATCCTGGTACTGCTTTAGTCTTTTAGTGATGGCGGACTGAGCCCGTTTGGGTGGGAACAGAAAATCTTTCTGACATGCCTGGGCTTGCTCGCAGAAAGCAGATCTCCCCAGTGTTTGGTTCTGCCAGCAAGAGTAACAAGAGAGTGGAGTTTCGCACAGAACGGTTCTTCTTGTTGACATTCCCGCTCCGCTGCTTACATTCTCAGCGAGACCTGCAGTGGTTCTGCGGCATGCCAATCGGTATCCCCAAAACTCTCGTTGTGATGGTATTTGGATTTTTCTGCTTGTTGCCAGTGGCCGTGCCGTTTACAGCACGGCACATTCCATCCTTCCGGGGGGGTGATCGTTGCACCGGAGGAACGGCTTGTGGTTAAAATGGCCCCGGTGGGGGGTAGTTCTCGCTCCGGGGGTCGCTTTGAGTCCGCAAGTTTGTGGGAAGTGAGCCATCAAGGACATCTCTAGCTTGGAAGTGGAAGTCAAGGCAGGTCACAACGTGTTGGGAGCAGTGTCGCTGATGTGGGCAGGAACATGACTTGAATATGCCGAGGATTTGCACCAGCAGAATGCACAGCTCTTGCTCACGTTCCAGCAGTTCAAGACAGTGCGCACCCCTTGTCTGGCTTCACCATGAAGATATATTGGTGGACTCAAGGAGCTGGAGACGGCACTGGCCGAGAACCATGGCTTGCAGGACTGTGAACCGACTTTTGCGTTTAGATTCCTGAAACTCTTTCTCTGGAGATCTGCATCCGCCCTCCGAGATCTCCGAGGAGACGATCGACATGTACGAGATGAACCTTCAGCGCGCTACAGACCAGAAAGCTGAGCTCATGGGGCACAGCAACCCGAAGCCATCGGCCAAGAGTGTACGTGCAACTTCTGCCCGATGTATCGTGAAGTGAATCTTCTGAGACTGCCTCCAGCTGGAATGGCTCAAGATGCAAACGCGCCTTACCTTCGGCATGTGAGGCGCCGGTCTGTACGTACCAGCATGGGCCGCATGGGCGACGTGGTCGCACGCTGCCGTCCATGCTCAGCACCGCCCTGAGCATGTCGGAAGTTTTGGTAATTGGGGTATTCGGGTTCACGAGTGCGATTGCAATTGCTGAAAATCGTATGCTACGATGCAGGACCCGGCTTGTCTTGTTGCTGACCACAAAAAAGCTGCAGAAACAAAAGCTGCACAGGGCTTGCTTGGAAATTCCCAAACTGCAGGTTGGTCTTCCGTGCAATTCGGACCCAAGGAGCCTGTGCGTATTCTGCCGGTCCTGTCGTTCTCTATTGAAGCCTTTCCTGCAGGATGAGCAAGGGTTCTGCGATGCCAAGCTGACACTGGTAGTTCGAGCCGGACAGCCGCACAATTGCATTGAGGAGGCATTCGCCGACGTTTCCTATAGCTGCTTGTCCCAAAGCTCTCCTGCCATGCGCGTATTGTCGAAGCCTGGATGTTCAGATAAACTCCGACGTGGTCGTGGTCAGCATCGGCGAGCCGAACAAACGGGGGTCCGCTGCTTCCCTCCATGCGAGAGTGGGGGAAGTTCTGGTGGCTTCCAGGCGAGGGAACCGAGAACTCAGCGGCTTTCTTCGAACACTACTTGGCCTTGCAGAAGATCAGGCCCTCCCGTGGCGCGTTTAAGTCTCCGGCCTTTGTTTTCGTTATGCCAGGTGAGGCTGGAGGACAATGTCAGTAGTAAGAGCAAAGGGCCCAGAACAATCAACCAATACTTGCAGATCCGCAGCGACTGAGGCAAAACGCTGCTCTTGAAGCGGTTGACCTGCGACAAACGTAGCCTCATTTGGCAGCTTCAAGCCAAGGCAGGAAAAAAGATACTTGAGTTTGGCAGGGGCTTATCACCTTGCCCCATGGCAACGGCAGGTAGGAGACAAGCAGCCTCCACGTTTTGCGACCGAAGAAGCAAACGCAGCCCTTCCCTGAGCTTCGAAGGCCGTGAGAGCGCGGTGAGTCATAACGAAGCTTCGAAGTTCCTGAAACCGGACTAGGGTGGCTTGCGGTGCGTGCGAGCCTTTAGCGTGGCGAAAGGTGACGATGTGGCTTCTAATCACGAAAGCTAGCGTAGCGAGGCTTTCGTTTCTATCTGTGTAAGCAGTGGGCCAAGACCGCCGGCCCAGATGCAAACGAGTTGGTGTGTCGAGCAAAACAGGCCCCCGCCCCTTGCTCCCCCCATATCCCCCTTGCGGTGGAAAAATATGGACGTATGATCCCTGAGGATCTAAGCTTGCGCTTGCACGCGGACGGCACAGTTGGTTTTGCTACGTGCAGAGGAGCTAGTGTCTTGAAGCGGTTACGGCACATACATGCAGGTGTTATGCCATTGCTGAAGGTACCGCCCGGGGGCATCTAGGATTTTAGAACACAAACAGACGTTAATTTTTGTTTATGGTAAGCATGGCTTGTTTCCGTTCACACGTACGTGTCAGCACGATTCGTCATCAAGTATGATGCGAAGTGAAATTGAGCTCTACTACATGAGGTAAGCAGCACAGTGTCAAAAAGTTTGCAAAAAAGTTGGGCACTCTTCGTTTTTGCTTCACTTTGTGAAAGCTCCGAGTTAGGAGAGATCTAGCTGTACAGAATCAGGTCCTAGGCGATCAGCATGAATTAATGCAGAGCGTCTAATACTCTCGTGAGAGTAAAACACTTTTAGGCAAGACTGTTCCTGTGGGAATCTCGTCTTCATGCCTATAACCATCCGCGTGTTGTTGCGGATGCGTTTCGGCGGGATCGGAATCAGCACCATCATGTACCTCTTCGTCCGAGTCGGAAATTCCCAAGAAGAGACGGTTTTCAGCTCTTGTGAGAGCAGGTTCATTTGGATCAGAGTCCTCCGGTGCTGGTGACATTGGATTAACCTGCAGTTCTGCCTCTGGCTTGGCCTTGACGGTTCCAGCTTGTGAGCTGTTAGCTTTGGTTCTCTGGTCCGGACGGCCATGATATCTCTGACTCGAACTGAGAGCATCTCTGTAGAGATTATCCCGGTAAGCATGAGTGTTTGGGTTCTGTCTCGGATCATCACCTGGGGGTGAGTTGTCCGGATCACCGGAGACATCATCGAACAACTTGCTCAGTGTATCCTGAAGCTCAAGAGGTCGTTTTGTCAATTGAGCATTCAAAACAATATATAACAATCTGAGCTTTCATGGTGTTGTCAGCGGTTCTGAGAGGCTGGCTCAAATGATTTAGTTTTGAAGGAGTGTTTCTAGGAGCGTCTGTTTGACTTGAATATATATATGTATATATATATACATATATATATATATAAGTCACTGTGGCCGTTGGCGGTGTTGGGTCCATCGTGAACAGTGTCACGCAAGTGTTTCAACATATCTGGACTCCACTGGGCATCCGTGGCCTTCGTCAAATTCATTCCGTTCAGTTTCGCGCATACTCAGATTTTCTTCAGCCGACTCGAGTGCGAGTTTAGTGGACATTCGTTCTCCTTCCAGGACAGCGGCCCTTCTGGAAGTAGCTGAGATATGCTCTGAGTTCAGGTCATATGCCTTTTGTGCAAGTTGAAGGCTTTTTTGGATACCTTTAGCCTTTGGTCCTGTGGATACCCATGGTTGGGTAGCAGGAGGCTCTCCTGCAGGAGGTGGAGTCATGCGTTGCGGGGCTTTAAGTAACGACCGTTTTGGCACCGTCTTAGTAGGAGGCGACTTCGGCATTGCATGTGAGAGTGCAGCCTGACCATGCGCAGCAGCTTTGGACTGCGGTCCTAGGGAAGTATATGTTACTCCCAATGCTTCGTCGGCGACTTGAGCTGCCATTGCATCGCTGAAAAGTTGCCGCATGTGTGCAGTATGTGAAGTGTGCGCGTAGGTCTGCATCAACCCAGTCTGTTGCTCAGTCGCACGTGATTTCGTGTTGCCACGGTCAAAGATGTCATTGCGACGAATCTCTGTTACCTCTACACTGCGCGGGCAAGTTTGGCAAAGAGTCCTTGTGAGATATTTCCTGCGTTTCCGAGCTGTGGGCAGAGATTGGACAGATGGTAAGCAGACTCTGTGCGTGCCGTGCGCCAGATTTTTGTGAGGGAGAGGCTCTCACCTCGAATGGTTTGATAAGGACCTTGGATGATCTCGGTCATGATTGGTTTCGCCTCGGGTTCGAGGAAAAAAGCTCGCTACCAGCACACCGCTGTGGCCAGGGTCGTCCGTTTCGTTTGGTTGTCGACCCTTCCGTGCCCGGGGTCACGGCTAACACTCACTTCCCAACCGCTCGTCCAATGTCGATGTGTTCAGCTTTCCGACTCCCATGATCAGCTTGTCGCGTTGGTGTTGGACGTCGCCAAAGCACCGTCGGGTCCTCATCCGCCCCTCCGACCGCGGTTTGCTGTGCTTTAGACACCGCGGACGTCTGTTCCTGTGATTTCCAGTGTCTTGCACTCAACTTCGGCGCCAGGGTGTCCCGTTTCTACTGGGCGCGAGTTGCTGGACTGCTGCTCCGCCTGCTACAACGTGTTGTCCGGGTCCGCCATTCCGATCTTATCTACGCCGATGACAATCTTTCTTTACTCAAGCGGCTTTCCGCTCCCCTCTGGGCGTCCGTCATCGTTATTCTCTTGCTTTGTCTCAAAGTTCCGATGAGTTGGCACAAGGGCTCTCTTGCCCCGGTCTGGATTGGTTGGCAGCTGGACTTCTGTTCTTGCCAGCACGGACTACTCGGTCCGTGATTTGAAACGCCTCACAGGGAAGTTGCTCTAGCTTTCCTCCTTGTTTCGTTGTTTCCGAACGTCGCTTGCACCTCTGTGCTCCCACCATGCCTTTACACCAGTTCTTACAGCCGTCTCTCCGGACCTGTGGCAGCGTTTATGCGATTGTCGCCAACCTTGTTCTGACCCGGTCCGTTGGTGTTGCCGCTCTCCCGTCTGGCTCCCGTCTCTTGAGTCTTGCGTGTCGGAGGACAGACGACACTCTCTTCCAAGGCAGACATGCGCCGTGTGGTCCCCGACGCGCGTCGCATCTGGGTTCAGTCTTGTTCTGCCTCGCGAGCTTGTCCGTCTCCAGGACTCTCGCCCACTCTTCTTCCGGAACACTTTATCCCGTACTCAGATGTTGGCGTTGTTCCCGTGGATGCTCTTTGCAGTCTTTCATCGCCGCGTGGGAACTTGTCGCTCAGGGTGCCCTATACTCAGCTCCTTATGCTGCATGACCTTCTTGGACCGGGGCACCTACCTGTTCACATGGTATTTTGAGCTCCGACAATTATTCCGCCTCGTAATCTGCTTCCTGGAAGGGCCTTAGCAGTGCCAAGGGCCTTTGCACTGTGCTTCGTGCCTTCTTCGTTCTCCAGGAACGTCTCCGCGTCCTGTGGGACGTAATCAATACATCGATGCACTTGTTGTGACGGGATCGGCGTTGGATTGTGTCCAGGTGTGGACCCATCTGCCGTGTAATCACCGAGTCTTACAGGCTTACGTGATGGTTCCTGAGCCGAAAGAAACTGGCACGCTACGCGCGCTGTGACCTCCGAGTGCGGAGACATAGGTGGTACGCACATCAGCAACCCGTATATGATTCGGCATCTTTCGGCCAGGGTCCGAAGAAACTAAGTTGTTGCCTTTCACGTAATCGGCATGAACGACAAATCTGGCCTTGGCGTTCAGAATTACTGCTGCAGCCACCTCTTGAGGTGAAGAGTCTGCAAGCTGCAACGTGGCCAGTAGATCCAGTGGGATCAAGTCTGTTGGCCTTCCTCTGAACCATTGTGGGTTCTTCTCAGGCATGTGTCTCGTAATAAACGAGAACCAGCGGCCTACCTTGTTCATCTTAGCCAGGAAGGCATAGCAGGCATAGCAGACTTCCGCACAGAGTCCTGTGGCCTTGTGAAGATTAGATACGGTAGCAGGATGTCGTACTTTTTTATATAGTTGCCACTCCTACTTCTGGACTGTGCGTCTTGAACTTTGGTGTCTCGAACTACAATACTTTCGCACACAACTCCGCTTTTGCTCGGGATTTACAGTATTTTTGGCGATGTTGGTGATGAAAGGTGATGAAATGTGATTGATTTTCGTGATGCTGGTGATGAAATTTGTTTGCTTTTTGGCGATGTTGGTGATGAAATGTGTTTGCTTTTTCGTAAGCACACAACCCCGCTTTTACTCGGTATTTACGGTACTTGTGGTGATGTTGGAGATGAAAAGTGATGAAGTGTGTTTTTTTTGATGTTGGTGGTGATGTTGATGACAGTGACGAAGTGTAGTTGGTAGGGGGTAGGGGTGGCTGGTAATAGTAGTAGTAGTAGTAGTAGTAGTAGTAGTAGTAGTAGTAGTGGTAGTAGTAGTAGTAGTAGTAGTAGCAGTAGTCGTAGTAGTAGGAGTAGGAGGAGTAGGGGTAGGAGTCGGAGTAGGAGTTGGCGTCGGAGTAGGACTAGGAGTAGGAGTTGGCGTCGTCGTCGGCGTCGTCGCAGGCGTCGTCGTGAACGTCGTCGTAGACGTAGTCGTAGTCGCAGTCGTAACCGTCGTTGCAGTAGCGCTTGCAGTAGCAGTAGGAGTAGTAGCAGCAGCAGCAGTAACCGGAGCACTTGATATTCTCCTTGTCATCAAGGACAAAGCTGTCGATTATCTTTGTCTACCAGTGTCTCCTTCATGTTTGCGGTTTGGCGGTGGATTAGAAATAGAAGGTTGCAGTCGCAGTATAACGTGCAAGTGACTGCGCAATGGTAATCCTCTCCTGGCACAAAACTGCCCGGCTGATCGATTGGTTAAGTCATGTTAAGTCATTGGTTAGCGCATCTAATCTCGGAGTGCTTTTCGGCATTGAAGTTGTGGTTCGCTTGGACTTGCAGTTTACAAATTTATAAGTAAGGTATTCGAATGAACATGGTCGACTGTTCTGCTTGATTTTGTTTCATGTCTCTCCCCACATGAACGTCCATCAACTGAGACGGAAGGGGGGCTTCGCAGGCATCGGTGTGGTCCAGAAGGTGTCGGCATCAGAAACCTTACTCGTAAGGGGCGTTGCAGAGGCAGAGGTCAGAGCTTAGCCAAGCATCTCAAGCCCGGGGGTTGGCTGACACTCAAATTGGCGAATGTGACCAACGAGACCAGACTACTGCTTTTGTTTCCACGGAAAAAGCGGCCTGTGAAGCAGAGCAGCCGCCAGCGGCGTTGGGCCCACAGACTGCGCACTGCGCGAAAGCAATGCATGAACCTGAGCAACTCCTGCGCACAACACATGCATGAAGCATCTTTCCAATCAGGAGAATGACGCGGCAGCAGGCAGAAAACGCGAAAAGAGCACAACGCTGCCGAACATGAAAGTCAGGACGAGGCTGGACGAATTGACTTGGACGAGGCAGTTCTTGGCTGAAGGCCAACTGTACGAACACTCATGAACCGGCATAAAAAGAAAAACCTGAAGCGCCAGCCAAACCGAACCAGTGAAGATCTCGAGAGTCAAGCGTCAACTTTACCGCAATGCTTAACACGTGAGCTACGCTGTTCTTCTCGACCAGCTGCTAGCTTCCTAAACAAAGGCCATGCTTGCACAGGTTGGACACATGCACAAATCGACTGAAACCTCACCCACGACCATTGCAGCATCGGGATGGCTGCAGTATTCAGTGCAGCTGAGGCGTTGCGGTTGGCAGACCCAGCTGCAAAGCGCTTGAAGGCTGAACTGCTTGATACAGTCTTGGCTGTTTCTTTATTGAAGAGACCGTCATGCAAGTTGGAAATCGTTACAGCAACGACAACGACGGATGTTCGGGCCGACATTTGAGCAGGACGAAACCGGCGAATATCGCCGACTGCAGGAGGAGGAGCCATGCAGTCTGCTATGAGACCGCAATCGGTTCTTCAAGCTCCATGACCTTCATCTGCAGCTGCGGTGCTGGTGTGAACCAACAGGCATAAGAGCACAAAGCGCTCGCCAGGCTCGTGCTGAAGCATTGTCGGCTTTAGTCGCTGCCCCTTCGCCGTACTCTGATAAGGCAGGAGGAACCTCCAAACGGACCCTGACTATCCCTGATTGTCACGCGACTGAGCAACTGAGAGAGGTTTCGTCTTCCGAACGTCCAACCCTGCCGCAAGTACTCCGGGTACGCAGGCTCGACCTATGTCATGGCATGTGTCACAGGATCATGTGTTTCGCTTGTGTGAGGCCAGGCAGCCGCCTGGAAGACGGAGATCAAGCGCAGACGGTGCACATGCGGAAGTGGGACCTGGAACCCGATGAGCCCGTTGTCAATGCCGGCTCGACAGCAGAAGATGCAGCAGGCCAAGGCTTCGGCGGATGCAACCATGCGCAACACTTGCCCAACCATGAGCATCCGCCTGTTTCTCTTTTGGTCAGGTTCGCCTGGTCCCGAAGAACGTGGCCTTCAAGGCCTATCTCAATATGCATCTGACGAGAGCTCTGAGGACTGCAGTTTAGACATGAGATGACCTGTTGCTTGTTGCGTAGCGGCACAGCAGCATGGACGGGTTGACAGGAGGAGACTGACTCCGACGATGAACGTGAAGTAATGTGAGGAGTGCTTGTTAGCCTATGCCCGAAACGAGGGCACTGAAGCTGCAAAACTGGCAAACATACATCTACAGCAGCTACTTCGTGGCCTGCTTGTTGTCTTGGGGCTTCTGGCGTCTTGCACGGCTACCTGCGAGCGACGGGGATGGGCGGCCTGATCGTCACCGCGTCGTCGTGTCACCGAGGCAGAAGATCCGACACATGGTAAATTTGAAGGAGGAGGGGCATACACAGCTGTGTGGCCCGCATGTACGACTAGACCATTCACGCTACACACCCGTGTCAGGAGAACAAAGAGTTACGCGAGCAGCTCAAGAAGGTCAATGGCGATGTTTCAGATTGGTGCTGACTTGTTCCCACGATGGGTCTTTTCATGACAGGCGAAGCAACGTATCACCCAGCTGGGAGCCGCATACTCACAGGACGTTGTGCGGGCTTAAATGGACAAGACACTTGGGAAGCTGCTGCGCCCGAGGTGTCACGCAAAGGAGAGGGTCTGCTTGAAGCCCTGGCCTCCTTCTCGCATTCGCACAGCGTAGGCACGGCGATAGACGGCGGGGAGCTCCATTTTGCTCTTGCTCTGCCATGTCAGGCGTGTCAGGTGATCAGCTATCTGTTTCAGCCAGCCCCTGGGGACCTGAGACGCCCAATGCAAGAGGCAGCAAGAGAGGTAGGAAGGCTTTCCCGCCCCCGGTTTCGTGACCCAGATGGACAGGTTCAGAAACGCGAACACCCAAGCGCCCGGGGACGCCAAGTCGAAAGCCGGCGTCACCCCCTCAGCCTCGCGCACCCGAGATTCGTGTGTACCATCATGCACCGCCGGGGTTGATTGTCGCACTGGTAGATGCCAACCGGGTTCTGCTCGCGGGGCTCGGTCAAATCCTCACGAGGACGGGTCGGGAGGGATGCAGCGTTCCTGCTTTTGCAATGACGGTGGCTGGAGGGTCTGCGGTATGTATGTGCTAGATTCCGATGAGTAAGGCATGCTCGTAGAGAGGGTACTCAGTTCTAAAAACTTATTGCTGGAACTTGCCAAGATGAACGGTGTGACGGTTGCCGTGTGCACTGGTCACTCAGCTTTCGACAGGATGCAAGATGTAGCCACAGTTGAGTATAGGAAAAAGGCAAGTTCTGTGGAATCGGATGCAACAAGTAGTTGAGGCTATCAGCTTGGACGGCAATCTTAGAATCATATAGCAAAGCGTGCAAGAATGCAGGAGGAGTACCAAGCCCGCATGGTGGAAGAAGAGAGAAGGCGGCAGATGCAGGAGCTTCATCACGACACACGTTTCAGGTAGCCTGGCCGTGAACATTGAACCTGAGTGATATATCAGGAGCGCACGGTGGAGCGCATGCAAACAGACTTCCAGCACTTCATTGCGTTGATCGAGAGAGCCTCTTGACCTTAACGTGCCGACCATTCCTCAGCAGTGAACCCAGCGGGTGAGCGGTCAGACTTTCTCAGGCTGTGCTGTCGGAAGATCGTGTTGAAGATGCACCGAATCCCGCCGCTCCCGGCTTAAAGGGATGCCAACAATGCTGCCTAGACCACCGCGAGCCGCGAGCCTTCAGCTGCTTTCCAGGCTTTGTTGGAGCGCCTCCGGGCTGTTGCCAGCGAGCGCCTGGAGATCAATCGGCCCTCTCGTCCTGGCCGATGCCTCCGATGCCATGTCGCTTTTCTGAATTCCCGAGCCTGCGAGCTGTCTGCCAGACGGCGGCGAGCCTCTGGAGCTTGACATGGCATCTGAGTTCGGAGCTCAAGCTCAGTGCCGCGGGTTCTGCATGGTTCTGCATCTCTAGATCTCGTACAGGCTGCGATAGTCCCGAGGTGTGACGTGGGGCTGCAGGCCAGTCGACATTGCGTTCGCTTTTCATGGAAGAGTCCCTGTCCATGTTCATAGGTCGGAGAGTGCGGGGACATGGCGTGAGCGCGAAGGAGAAAAGCCAAGCCATTTCTGTGAGCAGCAATTTGTAATTAATTTGGAATCTCCGCCTGCCGGAGATTGTGTGCAGGTCACACAACCGTTTCTGCTGGATCTGCTCCACCACCGGGGCCCAACAAAGCAAGACACTAGAACTTGCTACAGAGAAGAGGTTTTGCTTCGTTCTGTCTCTTGTCCTTATGGACAGGGAGCTAGGGTGTGCGAATGTCACGGTGGAGTTTGGGCAACAGGTTGTGGAGAAGCTGTGCCAACATGGGCCACATGATGCAAGCTGCCGACAAGGGCGGAGCGGCAGACGAGAGAAACTTACGACTCTGCTGCTGCAACATATGATTCTCTAAATTTAGGTGGTTGCTGTCATGCCGCATGTGCAGAATGTTCTGATTGAAAGGCCGGGCTCAAGATGCGATGGCACGTACAAGCGTTTAGCCAGGGTGCTACGTGCCACGCTGAGCCATGCCACGTGGCGCAAGGTGGTCGTGGTTTTGTTTGCTGAGCTTGGGAACTGTTTACTTTGCTCGACTGGCTTTGGACTTCGTAGCTGGACGGTCGCGCACGGAGCTTTCGAGAAGGACGGCGCCTCTTCGTGGGGCGGCCATTCCACAGCTAGCCGATCTTGATGCCGAGCTAGGGATTTTGGCAACTTTGCCTCAGACTGGATCCCTGTCGCGATACAAAGGTGCGGCCTTTGATGCTGAGGCTGAGAGTTGGTTGAGCATGTAGTGTTTTCAGCAGTCTGCAACATGAGCACACTTGTGTACGCACTAGCCAATCAACTAACACACAGACGAACAAACTAACACATAGACAGACAGACAGACAGACAGACAGACAGACAGACAGACGGACGGACGGACGGAGAGACAGACAGACAGAAGGAGACAGACAGAGACAGACGGAGACAGACGGAGACACACACACATACACAGACACATACAGACACAGACAGACAGACACACACACACACAGACACACACACACACACACACACAGACACACACACACAGACACACACACACACACACTCACACACAGATGGATTCGGCCAAGAGCAAGAGAGGGAA